CCTGGATTCCCTGTTTCGAGTTCCTATCTGTACTAGTGTACATTCAATGGTCTAGCCAGATTTGTAAGGTAGAATTGGGTTCATGATGGTGGGGAAGAAGCATTTAGGAACTAGAGGAAAATTGTATGTTTCATCATTGCTACACTGCACCCTGACTGACTTGTCTCCTCCCCGCTACCCTTCCATAAGGGACTGTCCATATGCCTACAGATGGGATTTGGGTCCCCACTCTCCACTGCCCCTCATTCACAATGATATGATTTTTTGTTCTTTGATGCCTGATACCTCATCCCTTCGACACCTCGTGATCACACAGGCCTGTGTGCTTCTTCCATGTGGGCTTTGTTGCTTCCGAGCTAGATGGCCATTTGTTTATCTTCAAGCCTTTAAGACCCCAGATGCTACATCTTTTGATAGCCGGTCACCATCAGCTATCTTCACTACATTTGCTTATACACCCATTTGTCTACAGCGATCATATCTGGGAGGTGAGCACACAATGATATGATTTTTTTGTTCTTTTATGCCTGATAACTGATCCCTTTGGCACCTCGTGATCCCACAGGCTGGTGTGCTTCTTCCATGTGGGCTTTGTTGCTTCTGAGCTAGGGAGCTGCTTGTTTACCTTCAACTCTTTAAGTCCCTAGATGATATAGCTTTTTATAGCTAGGCTCCATCAGCTTTCTTCACCACATTTGCTTATTCACCTGCTTTGTTTTCAGCAAACTTGTCGGGAAGGTGAGCATCATGGAATGCTAGCTTAATAGAACAAAGTATTCTTGAATTGAGGGAGTACTTGAGTGGAGGCCCAATGTCCATCTGCTACGTTAATACTAAACTTATAAATATATGCACATAGATATATTTTCCCACCTCATATATAAATATATTTACATATGTACATGTCTTTATTTAGACCTCTATAAATGTCCTTTGCCTCCTAGCTCTTTCCTCTATTTCCTTTTACTTTCCTCTTGTCCCACTATCATGCTCAGCCTTCATTTGGGTTACAGTAATTCTTGGTTACATTACCCTTGATAATGCCCTACCAGGCCTCCTACACCCTCCTCACCACCGATTTGGATCACTTGTTGTTCCCTTGTCCCAGGGTTTGTTAACACTACTTCCTTTTCCCCCACCTCCCCGTCTCCCATGTCACCCCGGAACTGTTGGTCCCATTGTTTTCTCCTCCAGCTTGTTCATCCAGCCTATCTTATTTATACAGACCCGCAGAGATAATAACATGCACAACAACAAGACAGAGCAAAGCCAAGCAACAAAAGAAAACAAAACAACAACAACAAAAAGCCGATGACAAAAAAAGAAAAGAAAACAAAAAACACAATACAACAACAACCAAAAATGAAAAGCTTGTAGTTAGTTCAAAGACTGTTTCTTGGCCTTTAGGGGTGTTTTCTGGTTGAGTCTGATGGGGTGCCAAGCCTATTTGTGGTATTCCCTGACGACTTCGTTGCTCTTTTCCCCTTGCTGTTCTGTTCATGCCCTTAGTGTTTTGCCTCGGTGTGGTGGGATCAGATCGGGCGCAATTCCCACTGTGTCTCCCCAATGTTGTCCCCTGAAGGACTATTTGTCAGTGAGGGATGTCATGTCTCATAGTGAGACCGCCCATATGGTCTTCTCTGTGGATTGGCTGTTCTGAGCCGGAATATTGTCATCAAGGCTTGATGGGTCAGGATGTGCTCCACTCTCTCTTCCTCCCCCTTCATTTGCTCCCATGTGCTCTGATCAGACATGTCCCTTTCCCTGAGCTTCAGCTTCAGTGCTGTCCTCTGAAATAAATTCTTATGTGGGGAGGGGCAGGTGTCCACATGGTTGGGATTGGGGCCGGCCCCTCAGACCTCTCCACTGGTTTTCTACTCCAGGGGCAGAGAATTTTAGTTTTAAGATTTTTTTCCCTTAAGGCTAATTATTATGAAATTTTCTTTTGGCAACAGGGACTCAAGTTGTTTTAAGTTGTTTTAAGATTTGAGCCATGCAAGGAGGGAGGGGGGGAAATGAGGAGCTGATGCCAAGGGCTTAAGTGGATAGCAAATGTTTTGAGAATGATGAGGGCAACGAATGTACAAATGTGTTTTACATAATTGATGTATGTATGGATTGTGATAAGAGTTGTATGAGCCCCCAATAAAATGATTTTAAAAAAAAGAAAAGGCGAAAAGTCAAACAAACTAACAAAAAGATTTGAGCCATGCACAGAAGGGTCACTAGGAAGGTACAAGCCAGCCAGGGTGGAGTATAACACTGATGAAACACACAACATTCGTCTAGTTCTTTAATGCTTCCTCCCCTCCACTATCATGACCCCAGTTCTATCTTACAAACAGGGGGCTAGACAAGAGCATGTACACTGGTACAGAGACACAAAATCCAGGACAGATAAACCCCTCAGGACCAATATTGAGAGTAGTGATACCATGACGGGAACAGGAAGGTAGGGGGAGAAAGGGGAAACCGATCACAATGATCAACGTACAACCCCTCCCCCTCAGGGGCCCAGTCAACAGAAATGTGGGTGAAGGGAGACAGCAGATGGTGTAAAATATGAAGATTAAAATAATCTATAAATTACCAAGGGTTCACAAGGGTGGGAGCATCGGGGAGAGAGGGGTAAAAAGAGGAATTGATACCAAGGGCTCAAGTGGAAAGAAAATGTTTTGGAAATGATGATGGCGACATATGTACAAATGTGCTTGATACAATTGTGTAATAAGAGTTGTAAGAGCCCCCAATAAAGTGATTTATTAATAAAAAATGAAAAAGATTTCAGCCATGAATTACATTAGTGCACTTATATATAAATGTAAAAAATGTAACTCATGGGTGGTTCATAGTTCTGTGATGAATGAAAGTAAATTAAGACCAAAAACCTGAGACTTTAAGTCCCCAGAGTTAATGGAAATCATATGTAAAAGTAGAGGTAAGAAAGATTGAGGTGACAGAGTAAGGTTGTTATTGGTAACAATAATAATACTAGAAGTTAGGAGGTTAGTAAAAGAACAGTGTTTGATGAGCAAGATTCTTTCTTCAGGAATCCTGATAAAAACAAGATGATAGCACCAATTTTCTTGTAGCACAATGTTTCTAAACCAAGCAAAACATTTCTAAAAAAAGTTTATTCTATAATGTCAAAGTGTAAACATGGTTTATTGTACTTCTTTTTAGAAAAAGTCTGTCAAATTGATGAACAGCTTGAATGCCAGCACCAGTGTAGCCAAGACAAGTATTTGTTGATACAAGATGGAGTTCCTGACCAGAAAAGAGTTATCACCAAGAGTAACCAAGAATGTAATGAATTTAAAAGCACACTTCATCTAAGTACAGATCTTGTTGCTTCATTACAAAGGCCCCATAAACATGACTCATTTGGATATAATTTGGCAGATAATTTAGACTTATTTAGTCATTCTTCAGGAATAAGATATGATAATGGATGTGCAAAAGTATTCCTCTGTGCTGAATATGAAAAAACAAATCCTGGGGTGAAACCCTATGGATATAAAGAATGCGGGAAAGCCCTCAAGTGCAAAAAAGGTCTTAGTCTCCATCAGAGAATTAAAAATGGAGAGAAACCCTTTGAATGTACTGCATGTAGGAAAACCTTCAGCAAGAAGTCACACCTCATTGTACATTGGAGAACTCATACAGGAGAAAAACCCTTTGGATGTACTGAATGCGGGAAAGCCTTTAGTCAAAAATCTCAGCTCATTATACACCTGAGAACGCATACAGGAGAGAGACCCTTTGAATGCCCTGAATGTGGAAAAGCCTTCAGAGAGAAGTCAACTGTTATCATACATTATAGGACTCATACAGGAGAGAAACCTTATGAATGTAATGAATGTGGAAAAGCCTTCACTCAGAAGTCAAATCTCATTGTCCATCAGAAAACACATACAGGAGAGAAAACCTATGAATGTACTAAATGTGGGGAATCTTTCATTCAGAAGCTTGATCTAATTATACATCATAGTACTCATACAGGAAAGAAACCCCATGAATGTAATGACTGTAAAAAAACTTTCAGTGATAAGTCAACCCTCATTATACATCAGAGAACGCATACAGGAGAGAAACCTCATAAATGTGTTGAATGTGGGAAATCCTTCAATGAGAAGTCAACCCTTATTGTGCATCAGAGAACTCATACAGGAGAGAAACCCTATGAATGTGATGTGTGTGGAAAAACCTTCACCCAAAAATCAAACCTTGGTGTACACCAGAGAACTCACTCAGGAGAGAAACCCTTTGAATGTAATGAATGTGAGAAAGCATTCTCTCAGAAGTCCTATCTCATGCTACATCAGAGAGGTCATACAGGAGAGAAACCTTATGAGTGCAATGAATGTGAAAAAGCATTCTCCCAAAAATCATATCTCATTATACATCAAAGAACTCATACAGAAGAAAAACCCTACAAGTGTAATGAATGTGGTAAAGCCTTCAGAGAAAAGTCAAAGCTCATTATACATCAAAGAATTCATACAGGAGAGAAGCCCTATGAATGTCCTGTATGCTGGAAAGCTTTCAGCCAGAAGTCACAGCTCATAATACATCAGAGAACACATACAGGAGAAAAACCCTATGCATGCACTGAGTGCGGCAAAGCCTTCAGAGAGAAATCAACATTCACTGTGCACCAGAGAACTCATACTGGAGAGAAACCCTATAAGTGTACAGAATGTGGAAAGGCCTTTACCCAAAAATCAAACCTTATTGTACATCAGAGAACCCATGCAGGAAAGAAACCCCATGGGAAAGGCCACAACTGGAAATCAAAGCCTATCACACATTAGAGACTAAATCAACAGTGTCTATTATGTACACTGATGCCAAGTTTGTCAGTTAACATTTTAAAAGTATGTTTTGAGTTCTAATATAAATATGAAGTAATAAAGTCAGTCTTTCATAAGTCTTTACCCAAACACTATGGGGGTAGGGTGAGGGGAGAAGCAAAAGTACTAACTAAATCTGACAACCTTAATAGATAGATGAAAGTCTAATAAAAGAGCTGACAGAGGCCAAGGAAGTACTAGTGCAGGAGATTTCAGAGAAATAATGCCCCAGGCTGCATATTAAGACAGACTGCAGTAATAAGGACTCCAGTCTGAACTTCAGGATACATCCTGTGGTCTAAAACCATATTTTGTTTTCAACGACAGTAACAGAGTTCATGAACAGGCAGGAAGTAGGATGTTTCCTGAACCCATTTGGTGTCTGAGAAGAAATAGGCAGGGGTTTTGACAAGAAATCACTCAGACAAGCCATATTTGCAGAAAGTAGTTTGTACTAGCAACAAATCAGTTGACTGAGTAGAGACTGACAGATAAGCAAGTACTTTTCCTTGTGAAAAAAATGTAGAATTATTAGCTTAGGACAAGTAAAGTCTGAAAAAACTCACAAATGCAAAAAGAAAACAAAACTTCTGGTTGTAAGAACACTTGGATCTGCCTAAAGCCTGACCCCAGTTTCATCCCCAACATGAGCCTCTAGCAAATAGCAATTTCAGGAAAAATTAGTTTTATTTAAAGATGAAACACTAAAAAGTAATAAAAATGGAAATACATATGGTTTTTGAGCTAGCATTTCTTCTTCTAGGGATGTATATATCCACATATATACAAACTGATGAACACACAGAGGTAGGTATTCATTGATGCACTGTGTGTTAAAAAAAAAAAAAAAGAGTGGAACCTGTCCAAACATCTGTTTACTGAAGTCATGATATATCCACATACTGAAGCCCTACATATTCATACATAACAAATCAAAGAGAACTTGAATACCCTTTACATATTGGTATGGGTAGATCCCAAGATATATTATCAGGTCAGAAAATCAAGATTCAGGATAATGAGTATACTGTGCTACCATTTGTATATGAAAAGGAGGAAAAATAGTAAGTACTTGATTGTATATGCATATACTATCTTTTAAAAGATAGCCAAGAATCTGGTAACCTTGATTACCTTTGAAAAGAAGGGGACGTGGGTGGCTGGGGGAATAAGATTGGGAGGAAGGCAACTGTATATTCTTTGATAACTTGAAAATTGTACTATGTGAATGTACTATCTTTTCAAAAATAAATAAAAGTTTGAAAAGCATATACCATTAATGTTATAATGAAATTAGATTCTAGACATAGGATTTTAAAAGACTTAATATTTGGATTTTAAAAAAAAGTAGAATGATCATACAGACAGAACAACAGATATCCAATGAATTCCCAAGACACATAGGTATTACTTTCCTGAGGGTGCTAAATAAAGCTGGGACCACATGTAAACCTAAAGTAGTTTAGACTGGAACACACTTCTAATTTTGTAGGAATAGTGTCAAATATGAAAATATCTGTGCTAAAGTTCACAATGTTTTCTGATACTTTGTACAGAAATGTAAAGCAGGAAACTACATAAAGTCACATGACTGATGTGACAATATATTCCAAGGTGAGAGACAGATTGAGAACATTAGTATGAATGGACACTGCTGAAAGACCAAGTTGAGTCAGCATATATGCTCCAGAATGAGTGCTCCTGCTGTGTGAATACTATACTGTGGCTTCATGTGTCTATGCTTTTTCACTGAAGCTATATGTGGTGAAACTTGGCAGCCCACCCTGTGCAAAACCTTGTGATGATGGTCGCTGTTTTGTTTTGGGGTACCATCAAGTCATTTCCAAATCATAGTGACCTTATGTATAACAGATTGAAACATTGCCCAGTCTTGCCCTATCACACTTGTTTTTATGTTTGAGCCCATTGTTGCATCCACTGAGAGTCTGAAACTGCATTAGTCAGTGTTTAGATCTAACAAAGTGGGTGAGCTAGACCTGAGGTCCTGTCTGTGCCTTCCAGGATTTTTTTTCTCCTGAATTATCCTGCAAGAAAACTAATCATTGCCTTTTTACATAGGCTATGTCATACAGACATGTTATGTTCAGCCCCTTCCCAGAGAGAAGGATGCTTGGAGAAGATAAGGGAGTAACTGAGTCCTTCTGTAGTTTGCTAGAATACCGAAAAGCATGGGAAATTAAGCCATTGTACCTTTCTGTTGAGAGGAAATCTAATTGGGATTTCAGATCCATCAAAGGTCATCCTATAATGGGGTTGGGTGGGAGGTTAGGTCTTTCTATTTCAGATGGATCTTGGACTCCTACTTTCTGGGAGACAGATGATACCCTAATGAACAGAATGTAGGTGAAGAAAGGTGAGTGAGGCACAGATGTAGAGAAGGGTTGGAAATGAACAGCAAGATGTGAACAAATGCACTGGAATTAGAGGGGAGGAGTAATGAAAGGCCAAACATGAATGAATGGAGTAATGAGGGGCAGAGTAGGAATGAATAGGGGAAGAGTTGAGGTAAAGGGGAAATCAGATGGAATGTATTACTGGAGAAGAAACTGCGTAAGTGTAAGTAATGAGGAGAATAGAATTGAGTAAGGGTATTGAAGAGCAGAGTGAATGTTGGAAATGGGGACAGGGAGTAAATTGGAGGCACCAATAGTGAATGGGGACAGAGCGGGAATGAATTGGGTGAGTTAAGAGCAGTATAGGTAAATTAGTAAAGGGAGAATTGTGATTAATTCAGACTGACTGCTATAATTGGGAAATGATGGGAGGTCTGTGGGGTGAGTGGGTGAAGATCTGCATTGTCAGGGATAATAGAGTCTGGAAGTTTCTGTGATGCAATGGGTAGTTGGGCACTGACTGGAACAAGTGGGAGGTGGTTACTGGGTCTTTTGTCCAAAAAGCAGCTTTACTGAGGACCTTATAGTAATCATAGGTAAATGGGATGGAGACATCCTGGTTTTGGGACACTGCTCAGCAAGGCAGATCTTTCTTCTCATTATTTGCAAGGGAAGGTAAAAGGGTATTGCTACTAGTGTTCCAGTTAGTATACATGCACAGATTTATTACAAACAAAACATGTTTAAATACATCTATATGATTAGTAGAAACTGAAGAAAAGTTCTTAGTAATACACTCATTAGGGTGTCTTTAAAAATAGGAAATAAAGGAAAGAACTAGGAGGCAAATGACATTTATAGAGGTATAAATACAAGCATGTACATACGTAAATATATATATAATGATAGGGACATAGATTTATGTACATGTATGTTAAATATTAAGGTAGCAGATGGACATTGGGCCTCTACTCAAATACTCCCTTAATGCAAGAACACTTTGTTCTAATAACCTGGCATTCTGTGATGCTCACCTTCCTGACATGATTGCTGAAGACAAAATGGGTGCATAAGCAAATGTGGTGAAGAAAGCTGATGGTGCCCAGCTATCAAAAGACACAGTGTCTGGGGTCTTAAAGGCTTGAAGTTTAACAAGCAGCCATCTAGCTGAGAAGTAACAAAGCCCACATGGAAGAAGCACACCATCCTGTGTGACTATGAGGTGTCCACAGGAATAGGTATCAGGCATCAGAAGACCCCAAACAAGTATATCAATGTGAGCGAGGTGGGAAGGAGTGGAGACCCAAAACCCATCTGTGTACAATTGGACATCCTTTCACAGAAGGGTCACAAGGAAGGGATGACCCAGCCAGGGTGCAATATAGCCCAATGAAACAGCATTCCTCTAGTTCTTTAATGCTCCCTCCCCCCAAGTTCTGCCTTACAAATCCTGCTAGACCAGAGCATGTACACTGGTACAAATGGACACATGGAATCCAGAAGAGATAAACCCCTCAGGACCAATAATGGAAGTAGGGATACCATGAGTGTGTGGGAAGAAAGGAGGAACCAATCACAATGATTGATGTATAACATGCCCCTCCCCCCAGGGTGATGAACAACAAAAATATGGGTGAAGGGAGACAGCGGATAAGATATGAAAATAATAATTTATCAAGGGTTCATGAGGGTGGGAGGGTGAAGGAGGAAGGGAAAAGTGAGCTGATACCAAGGGCTCAAGTAGAAAGAAAATGTTTTGAAAAGGGTGATGGTGACATATGTACTGACAATGGGTTTATGGATTGTTATAAGAGCTGTAAGAGCCCCAATAAATGATCAAAAAATAAAAGTTCAACCAAAACTGGCTTTCAAGCGGATCTGAGGGGCCAGTTAAATTTAAGGCCAAGAGATCAGCTTGGAAGATTATGGTAACTGAGGAGATTCAAAAAAGGTTAATCTTAATAGATTTTCATCAAATGACATAGGATGATCGTGGAGCCTTATTAAGAAGAAATTTTAAGGAAAAAGAAAACTACATTGGTGGGGAAAAGAACAGGAAAATTGTGCCAGCAATGCCCCCGCCCCCATCATGACAGCACACCTGCTTGTTCTTTGAGAGTAGCGAGGGCTATCTCACAAGAATTTTTGCTGGGAAAGCTTACCCCATTCACCCTAAAGTCTTAATAGTATGTCTCTGTCCCCCAAACTCAACGTTTTAAAATAACATGATTTGAGTCCCTGGCGGATGCTTTTTTGAGGTGATGTAAATCAAAGAGTGCAGAATTCTTCAGGGATGTGTTAGAGACCCGCACATACCACTTTCAGAACTGTATATACCTAGATGGAGGCTATGTCAAGAAACAATGCTTCATATTTTGAAAAAATTAAGTTTTCTATGATTTTGTGTGTGTGTGTGTATAAATTTATCCTCCTATATCCACTCAAGAATTTGTGGGCAGTGAGAATTGTTAATTTAACTATTTGCATTGTTTTAATTATTACATGAATCATGTTTCCCAGAAAACTTCAGTGCATTAAAAATAAGAGTATAATTGGGGAAATCTAGATAAATTGATTTGTATTACATGAATACTTAAAGATGAATTAAAACATCAGATTTAACTTATAAAGGTGGGAAATATTTCTAACTACAAGATGTTCAATTTGGGTCAAGAGTTCAGGAGAATACTTTTGCCATCTACAAAATGGAGAAATAGTGTACCAATATATTGTTAATTTCTGTTTGTACTTATTTTATTATTTATGGTAGTAGAGCTGGAATCCACAAGGAAGAATTTTAGAAAGTTTATGTCTTTAGAATTTTAAAATAGCTATACTCTTTTATATGCAGTTTAAAGAAAATTTTTGTGTTTATCTTTTAATTTTCTTTGTGTGATGGGTTGACAGTTGGGGCTCCACTCAGATCCCCTTTATGGGAAGTAGACCACCACCACAACCAGCCCTATCTTGCTGATCTTGGTAATGTTGGTATTGTCTGCTGAAGGCTCACAGCCATATTTTCTCCAGATAATTGCTCCTTATCACTAGGAGTCACATAGCCAAAAATGCCAGGGTAAGTATGCCATCCCCTTCACACACTTTCACTTTGCGGGGTGAGGGGAGAGAGTAACCTATGGCCAATTATTGCCCAATAGTGGGTACAAAAGGTTCACTCCTCTGCCTCCAATTGTATAAAATGCGTGGCATCCTTCATGCTTGTGATCATTAAGGTGTGTCAACTTGTCTGGGTCATAAGTCTCAGGGGTCTGGCAGTTATGATGTCATCATGTCCATGATGAGATCTGTTATGAGAAGGCAGTCAATTAAAAGGGACTTTCCTCAGGGTGGAATTGCCTACTTCCACTATATGTGGGCACTCTAGCAAAGCTTGCTTCATCCTTGCTGGATTGGGATCTTGCGTCTGGCTCATTATCTGCTCTTCTGACTTCAGTCAGCAGCCTTCCATTTTGCTTGCTTCCCTGGGAGTTGTTAACCTCCATAAACTGTGAGTCAGCAGCCTGCCATTTGGCCTGATGACCTTGGAAAACCTTCAGCCTGACATCTGATCCATATAAACTTGGAACTTGTCAATCTCTACAATTGCCTAAGCTATTTCCTTGAGATGTGTGTGTGTGTAAACTTTACTAGTTTTGCATCTGTAGAGAACTTGGCCTAAGACAGTGTTCCAGAAAGAGGAAGCAAGCAACTCATGTATATTTCATCTCTTCAAGGATCTGTATGTGGGTGTATTATGCACGTGTGTAAGAATGAAATTATGTATTTCAATAAAATAGGATACAGGTTTATTGGTTTCTAGAAAGCCTGACTCCATCTCTGTTCACTGCCACTAGCTTTATTTAAGGCCATGTTTCCCTTGAGTCATCAGACAAGTGTCTACCTCCAGGTCTTTGAATT